GGATACCCATATTCAGTAGACGCCCCGTTTATTTATTAAACAGTATATTTATTTATTTTCGTCTTTCAGCCTAAATATTTGAAAAATCTTAGAAAAAAATATGTGCTCTCCGGCATGATTCGAACCTGCCTATCCTACTGGAGACTACATATTTGGGTTAGGTCATTGTATCGTGCCAGAATTTTTTCTCGCGTCATCTTGCACATTTAGAAATTATTGAATAGAGCTGCCATATCTGATCTGGAGGTTCTTGACAAAATTCAAAGAAGGATCTGTAATGTAATCGATCCTGACTTGACATCTCGCCTTCAGTCACTTTCTCACCGACGTGACGTGGCTTCTCTACGGCTTTTGTATATTAATATTTTCATGGCAAATATATATATATATATATATATATATATATATATATATATATATATATATATGAAGAAATATAGTTTTAATGTGTGCTATATTTATGGAAGAAAGTCCTCAATATCAGCGATAGAGCGTATGTAAATATAAAAGAGAACATTGAAGTCAACACTCAGAGACGTCAGGCCTGACAATTGCGTCTAGCATGAAACAGCCTGATTCCTCTGAGTGTTGACTTCAATGTTCACTTATATATATATATATATATGTGTGTGTGTGTGTGTGTGTGTGTGTGTGTGTGTGTGCATATATGTAGCAACATGAAGCCAATTGAAATTCAATGGTACTCTGTCTGAACCAATTTCTGTTGAGAATCGCGTGAAGCAGGGCGATATACTTGCACCTACTTTATTTTCCATCTTTTTTGCAATGATGCTCACACATGCCTTTATAAACTGTATCATTGATGTTTATTTGCGTTTCTGAGCTACCGGGAAAGTTTTTGACCTGCGACGATTTAGTGCATCCATAAAGGTGTTTCAGCAAATTATTCGTGAGCTTCTTTATGCTGATGATGGCGACATCGAGGCTCATACCGAAGAAGATATGCAACCCATGAATCTTTTTTGCTGATGCATGTAAATCCTTTGGGCTTACTATCAATTTCAGGAAGACCAAGGTAATGTTCACACCACCTCCTGGCGAACCTTATTGCGAACCAAAAATACTTGTGGATAGCAAGAGGCTGGGGGTGCTAAATACCTTTGTATACCTTAGAAGCGCACTCTCGCAAGATGGGACACTAGATGCCGAAATACTTCATCGCATCGAGAAAGCTACTACATCTTTTGCATGCTTGGAGAAGTGGATGTGCTCTGACAGAAATATCACACTCAGCATTAAGGTAAAGGTTTATGAGTCATATGTTTTAACTGCCCTTTTATACTCTTAAGAAATATGGACAACATACAGACGTCATGTTACCAGCCTTGAAAGAGTGTACTTCAGAAGAATCATGAATATTTCATGGCAGTTTTTTTGTACCTGATACAGAAATTCTGGACAAAGCTAATATCCCAAGGATTGAGAAGGTAATCATTTTCAATCAAGTGCGCTGGATAGGTTACTTGGTGCGCATGGATGACTCAAGGTTGCCTAAACATGCCTTTTATGGTGAGCAAGCGTCCCAGATACAAACCTAGAAAGCGCTTTAAAGATTGCATCAAAACTAAGCTCAAAGCTCTTGGGATATCAGTTGATATCTGGGAACTAGAGGCTGAATGTCGACATACATAGAGAACGACAATTCATCAAGGGTGTAACCAGTTTGAAAACTGTTCGGGCCACCCACCTTCTCTGGAGAGATCAGGTGACCATCACACTTCCGTCTCTCTACCGGAAGATATAGTTGGACTTTATACTCTTTCTGATTGTTACTGACTAACCTGCGTTCGTTTGACTACTAATCTCTCTGTTGTAAATACCTCTTCATATATACCAGTATTTTTCCCTTTGTCCTTATTTCAATACAGGCACGGGGAAACACTCCACATCTCAACAAAAAGGACAAGGTGGAACATGCTAAGGTTAAGCGCAATCTTCATCAAGGTTATTTTGAATTGCTTACCTTCCACCCTAACCTTACATATATGTAGTTTATGTAGTAATTTTGCTCTTTCAAAGGCAGGTCATCAAAGTCACCTTAGGTCACATCAGGCTCGATCCATTGAAAATCCTTGTGCCTTCTTGTATACTCTGCCATAAAATATGCAAGTCAGCTGCTGGATTAACAAGACACATGAAAAGTCATGTTGATGTCATGCTTGTTGAGCTTGTGGAACTCCCTTTCAGGTGCAACATTTGCGCAAAAGCTTGTAAAAGTAAGGCTAGTTTAAAGATGGTCACGGTCGGTAAGTCTAAAAGTTATATAGCAAAAAAAATTATTGTGGGGATGGTCTTCTTCTGTCACGAAATGGCAATCACTATGTATGTATGTATGTATGTATGTATGTATGTATGTATGTATGTATATGAAATTTTGTTTAAAAATATGTATATAGTTCGGTTTGATGTATTATTCATTAGAATCATTTTATAGTAGATTAGTCCTTGTTATATACCGTACTTATGAACACTAATGGATATGTCCTAATCCTCATAAATACGTTGGACACTATTGTAAGTGGGATTAATATGATGTCTAAGTAGTCCACCACTAGCAGTGGTTTACCTACTTCACGCCGCTGGCGAGTATTGTATTTTGTTGATGTTATAAAGATTCCCATTTCATTTCCAACCTCCGTTTTGGTTATTCCTCATTCAGCAACCCTTTCTAGGTTACAACAGATTTTTTATTTAATTTAATTCATAGCATCAGTATTCAGCCATCAAAACATATCCGAGTACAAGGCCCAAGAACCACTCAAGCTAGAAAGCTACTGAATTAAGTTACTATATGAAAGTAAGAGAAGAAAATAAGAAGTGGAGTTTATGGGGAAACGTAGGGAAGATAATTGTTAGCCCGAGATTTGAAGAGGTAAGATTGGAGTGATTAGAAAAGCATCCTCTCGGGAGTGTGTGTCAGTTCTTGAGAAGAATCTTACTTCCTCCTTACTAATGGAATAAGAACGTTGGTTTCTGTATTATTCTGTACAGAACACAAGGAAGAAAACATGCAATGTTTCATTTAAATTGTGTGCATTTATTTTATATTAACTAACATCCACATCTATAAAATGTTATGTGTTTCCCAATATACGTAACACGTTTTACAAGCATGACGATACTAAACAAATGTGCAAGGCAGCGACTCGTATCGTATCGTATGTCGTGCGCACAGGCAGATTCTAAGCAGAAGTGTCGTAGAGCGTTACTTTGAACCGAGGCGGAAGGCACAGATATCATGATCCTAGGTAGAAGTGTCGATCCATAAATAAATAACCTCCGCTATTTTTTTTACCGTTTACGTTTCGGGAACCTTAACGAGTGAATGTGCTTTAAGAGTAAAAAATAATTAATCATCTACAAGTCCGCGTAGATGCTTTTAAACGCTGTCAAGGGTGGGAAATAATGATTGGATTTATTGAAGAGCAACATTTAGATTGTACGTGACCTTGACTGCTAATTAGATAAAACCGTTGTTCAGAAAAACAAAAAAAAATCTAATGAAAATGAGGAAGGATATCTTGAAGAAAGTCTTTAAACATTTGAAAAATATTCCTCACAAAAGCCCTGGTTAAGCTTACTTGTATTAAAGAAGAAACCAGCAATGTAAAATTAGCACCATGTTTTTATTTGTTACCTGACAACGTTGGTTACTGCATTATTCTGTACAGAAGACGAGGAAGAAAACGTGCAATCTATCATTTAAATTGTGTGCATTTATTTTATATTAACTAACATCCACATCTATAAAATGCTATATGTTTTCAAATATATGCAAAATGTTTAACAGGATACCGAAAAACTAACCTGAACCTCAACAAAAGTGCAAGGGTGTGATTCGTTGATTGTATGCAAATTTAGTCTGCGGGAAAGTGGTAGTATGGTGGGAAATAATTAATCGCCTACAAGACCGCTTAGACGCTTTTGAATTCTATCAATGTACAAAAGTGGGGATTGTGTAGCTCCAGCCCATATATGTCGGAAATGCTCCATGTCGTCATTGACTACTGAAATCACGAAACTTGAATCTCTCACAACTATCATTACATTTTACTCAACTACGAATCTCGTCCGTTAGTGTCTGCCAAATCCCCATCTTGCAAACATTTCTATTTAAAAATTATTCACTAGACGATGTTATTTTATTTCCCCTGTTTCCACGCAATCAAAAAAGAATAGTTCATTATTTATGAGGTGTTGTACGGTGGAGTAATGGATAGCGGCTCGGATTTAGGAATCGGAGAGCAGAGTTCGAATTCCAGTCGAATCCATTACATTCACTTACATGCTAATACCCTTGGGAAAGATATGAAACCCCTTCTTCTCCACCCCCAGCTATGGGTAAATAGCAGGATAAACCGCAACTTGGAAGGCAACCTACTGCGGGAAAATATCTGCCTCGTCAGTCATGTATCGAAAGATACATTATTTACATTGTTCGGACTATCGTCCTCATCTTTGTTGCCATATTTATCACAACGTTTTGGCTGTTGTACGCCCCGGCCTTCATCAGGTAGTTGGAATGTCAAACTGAATTCGCTCGCTGGGGTAGACTGTTCTAGTTCCAACCACCTGAAGAAGACCGGGGTGATAGTCCGAACAATGTAAATATGATACATAATACCTCATCTCCGAAATATAGACAGTTATCAAAAGATACAGGATCGCCTAAGCGTGTATCACGCATGACACATAACTAACATGTCCGAAAGAAAAGAAGAAAAATAAAAACCTCGAAAGACATGATACCCGTTCATGGGCTCAAACTAAAGCTCAAATACGTTTAAGTGAATATATTTAATAATTTTCATGTGAAATATAAACAAGAACATAGTTTTTCACCTGATCTTTAAGTAAATAACTAAAGAAAGAAAGAAAGAAAGAAAGAAAGAAAGAAAGAAAGAAAGAAAGAATTCATGATCGGATAACAAAGAAAGAATTTGTGATTGGAATTAAAAAAAAAAGAAAGAAAGAAAGGA